TACTGAAGGAATACGATCCTTACAACCTCTACCAACAATGTTACACTCTGAAAGTCAGCAATGAGACTGCTCCCGTCGGAGATACTTGGGTTGGTAGAGTAATATATTGATTTGTGCTAGTTGTCCCTTTGGCTTGGATTGTTTTCTTCAAGACCCGGAATAACTACGACTCATCTGATCCATATATGGGATATTATTGCTACATGAATGATGCGCTCAGCAATTATATGAATCTTGATTCTGTTAGAAATGCTCTACACATTCCCGCAGGGGCTCCCAAATGGATAGCTGATGGGTAGGTTGTTCATAGTGGTCGATTATTGATCCATAAACTAAATAGCCAACCTAATCAATCTAATCGATAAATTTCGATTGCAGTGGCCTCATTGCAGTCTACAACCAAACCAATCCTACTGCTGAACCTTTATTTAAATACATTCTCAACAGGTAAAACTGACCTAAGGTCAAGGTTACCCTTCAAGATTGATTAATCGAATTATCGATTTAGCTCTTATTATGACGCCAGCAACTTTACGATACTGTTATATAGTGGTGATGTAGATACTATGTGTAACTGGATGGGTGCTGAATGGTTCACCACACAGTACTTCACGAGTAGCATAGGGCTCAATGTTGGTTTCGAAAAAAATTCTAGGGATATATTTAGCGCGAATGCGTCAATTTTTCCAGCTACCAGCACGAGAACCATGGAGCTATCAAACTGACCCAATCTACTTCTCAACAGTGGGTGGTTATGCAAGAAGATATGCAAGAAATATTGATGTACTTACAGTCAAGGTGCGTTGATGGAACTTACCTAGAAAATAGTATGGAAGTAAGAGAAGCGCAGACATCAAAAAAATGCCGGCAGGGTTTTATTAGGATTTTGTTAATGATAGAACCTATCTTTGCTATTCAGGGTTCCGGCCATTTTGTACCATTGGATCGACCTATGCAAGCCCTTCAAATGATCAACAATTGGATCAACAGAGCTGACTACAGTACCCCATTCA